TATTTCCAAATACAGTACAATGAGCCATTTACATCGTCCGATATTCAATCAATGGTTAGTAAATAAACAACCAATATTCCATTTCCATCTTCCGATATTCAATGTTTAGTGTACAAACGATCAATGTCCCATGTCCATATTCCAAAGTTAAATATGTAGTGCTTAAGCGTACAATGTCCAATTTTCAAGGTTCCGTGTCCAAATGTTTAATGACCCATGCAACTAACGATCAATGTACCAAAGTCCAAATTTCCATCAAACCATGTCCAGTCCATCGTCTATGTTCAAGGTTTAATGTTTAACGTATATTTCTCAATGGCCACAGTCCTAAGATCCATATCCATAGTCCAATATTCATCGTTTAGTGTCCAATGTTTAATGGCCACGCTACTTTGTCTGCCGTACAGTCTATGCAGCAAAGCACGTGATGACCCCTGCGTCGCCAGGATTTCCAAAAGGATTTACTCCTGCCCTGATGTGCGGTTTATTCAAATTGACATGTTTTCACTGACTGCACCGATTTACAAAACGTCAGTGTTTTAATCAATATTCACTAGTATGTTTTCATGTTGTATATTTATTGGTTGCACAACGCTTTTGTGTGGCATACAGGAATAAAGGAAATCAATAGAAATACAGCATTAAAATAATAATCAGTTTATTAACTCTTGACAATTATTTTTTGTTGTTGTTTAACGTTACAATGGAAGTTGGTTCTTTCTACATCGAGTATGTGTATTTATGGTCTTTTGAAACAAGTAAACAAAATTACCATACATGATGGAAAACAGGGTTTATTCAATTTCATTGCTAATATTTGTAAGACACCTCTGTATATCGAGAGTTTAATCATAAAAAAAAATATGGCAAACGAGGCATGGTTAAATCAATAAATAATTCTGGAACACAAAGGGCTATTAGAAACAAAACAATTGACATAACAAAAAGTGTTTAAATTAATTTGAAATATATTTTGAAGACCTTTTGCCTGACTTAAACAAAAACACATAATGTAACACACATAACTAAAAGAAAAATGCATTTTCATGAACTTCAAGAACAAAAGTTTGATCATTCGAAATGTCTTCTACAATAGTGCTGTCTTTATTTAGTTACGTAGGTAAGAAAGATTCAGGACAAAAGTTCACTCCGTTCAAAAGTAGTGACTTATTATATACTTCAAAGAAACTTTGCTCATTGATACCTACTCGACTTTTGCCTAAGTGATTTTGCTCAATATTTCCGCTAAGGTAATTTTAAATATGATGCCAAAGAAAAATATCAATTTTGCCAGAAAAACAGATAAACTAACTATTTAGTAAACTTTTTCGTCACGTTGCAACTTTTAAATACACGCTTTGTGGGTCTAAAGTATGTATTTACAACTGTCTGCGTGTTGTAGCCTTAGTTTTATAATCTTCGATTGTAAGCAATCACATGTATCAAAATCATGTATCGATTGTAGCTTATTGCCGTATTCTTGTCAAAAGTTTGTTATTTTGAAAGTATAATCATAATGTACACTACCACAATGGTAATAGGCGAAATTATTAAACATCTGCTTATTTGCATTAACAAAATTGAAAACAAGTTAGAAGTCGTTTGAAGAGGTAATCTTTTCATGGAAAGTATTTTCGTTTTCTACCATAGTTTGTTTAAATAATGTTGTAATATGACGAAAAATTAGTTCATCACTGGGACAAATAGTGTCTTTGCAACCCTCACTCATTTTCCTACCTCGGATCCGCCTCGATAGTAAAACTTAAGCTCGAGTCGAAAAGGGTCACTTTACGCCCAAGTGATGAAAAATACCTACTCTTGTAGTTAATATGCTATTTACATATATTTACTACAAGTTGACGTAGTATACGAAATGTGTTTTGTGCTTAGTTGTGTACACTTAAATAAACCCATAGAATAAAAGAGGGCCCTTTTTCCTGAACCTAGTGTTTTAAGGTAATACACTGTTATAACACCGGGCTTGTAGAGTAGAGTTAATCCGGCAAATGTGTCTTATCACTGATCACTATGCCTGTGTGTCAACTACCACACCCTCACTGACTACAATCACATTATAACGTACTTGTAATTGCACTGTTATAACACCGGGCTTGTAGAGTAGAGTTAATCCGGCAAATGTGTCTTATCACTGATCACTATGCCTGTGTGTCAACTACCACACCCTCACTGACTACAATCACATTATATCGTACTTGTAATTGCACTGTTATAACACCGGGCTTGTAGAGTAGAGTTAATCCGGCAAATGTGTCTTATCACTGATCACTATGCCTGTGTGTCAACTACCACACCCTCACTGACTACAATCACATTATAACGTACTTGTAATTGCGAGTTTTATAGGACTGTTTTTCTTAATCAAAAGATTGAAAATTAAATTACAGTATTTATTTTTTCACACCGTAATAATTTATTTTAAATTTTAAACTGCTATACATTTATGTTTTCATAAGCATGTAGTATAAAAAGTTATTTATGTCTTAAATTTTAAGAAGGTCTTACCAGGACATTACGTTAATCAGTCTTACAGTGTTTCTTGATAAATATGCAATGATAACCGGTAGAGGGCTATCCAGTATCCATCTGCGATGAAATTACTAATGTTAACTTCTTCAATTTAAATTTTCTCATGCAATTTGTGTTGTTTCATTAAACAGCTTTATATTTATTTGATTGTAAAATTGACTTACGATATGTATAGTAGTCTACATTTATTTAGTTTTAAATACTAAAAACCATAATCTTAATCATAAATATTTTTAATACAGTTATTATTACATTCAAAGTAAAATAAAAAAATAAATGTATTTTAAATTTCTAAAGATCTGTTTTAGTATCCAAATTAATGGTTTTATCCAACACTAAATCTATTTAATTAATATTAACTGTTCAAAATTCATGTTAATTAATTAATTGCCTTACAGATTGTATAAACCATAAAAATAACTTTTAAAATAATTTATAATGCAAAATTATTAAATGTATCATTTTAACCTGGAGGCTAAGCCCTTGTTTTGTGTGTAGGACTTCTGTTCTGGAGCCTTGGGTAAAAATCTGACAATCACTAGCGACTTTTAGCGTTAATGCTAATATATAGTAGTTTAGTGCCAGATTTAAGCTGTATAACCTACTACATACTGTATAAAACAAAAAGGATGAATTCATCAGTGGAGAAGAGTTTCATCTACATTTCAGAACTCCCTAAAAATATTCGATACTTAACACGTGCTTTTGAATAAACCTTAAAACCAATTCAAATAGTTAAACTAATCGTCAAGAATTCAACTCAATGGTAATAATTATCACTAATAGCCTACATCATGAGGAATATTGTTTGTATGATTCTGCAAGGCTGTAATGTTGTAAGTTTATATCATGTGACATAGGGCACGCCCTGCCCCGCCCTGCTGATGGTTTGACAAACAGACAGAACCAACAGACAAACAAACAAACAGACTGAACCAACATATCAGCGTGTCTGCACAGCAGGTCCAAGGTAAGGGATTTGCCACAGGCTGTACGTGCCAAGCATGACCTGCAACTATTTACCTAATGGATTAATAGATCATAGGAATAAGAGGCTGGATACACTTAGGAAAATGTAGCTGGTGGCTAAGAGTTGATTGAAGAAAAAAAACTTTTCAAAATTAAAGATTTCATATATTTAAGTGCTCATGGATAGCTATGTTTACCAGTGAAAATCTCTTACATCAGAGTGTCAGATCTTGCAATACTGCAAGTTTCACTATCTATCACACCTCTGTTACCTAAAAAAACAAAAAAAACAACATAAAATCAAAAAGATCCAATCATTAATTTTATTCATTATTGGGATTTGAGGAAACTAGTTTTCAACCGAAATTAGCTACTTCTGGTATTAAAATATTGTTATAAATCCGGTTTGTTAATCTGTTTGATTATGGTTAGGTTAGTGATCACGGTGAAATCTAAAAAATACCACCACTTTGAAATTTTAAATTAGACCAAGCTAGTTTTTTTTCCTACATGCTTCTCTTTTACCTTTAGCACACATACAAAGTTTCATAAATCAGTTTGATCAATATAAAGATAAAAATCTTTATCTAACAAATACAAAATGGTGGATACCTGGTTAACAAAGTGATTTTGGAAAAACAAATTTTATTCTTGATTTTCTATTTATTTTGACCCATAAAGCCATTTCTCGGGAGTTGGCTGTTTAAATACGCGATACTTGCTGATATGAAAAATTTGTTGACAAAAAGTTAGTGCTGCCAGCGGGATTCGAACCCGGGACTTACTGCTCATCAATCCGCAACGCTACTAACTATGCCACGAACGCCGCTGAAATCACATCGTTTCGTTACGGTAATCGTGTCGCCTCAAGAGAAGACATTAGCCACTAGAGATATGACGTCACCACACCTTTAGCCTTAGTCCCTCCCGTGTGCCCATTCCCTGTATAACATATTCAAAAGACGAAGGTCATTTTGACAACAAGTAACAATTGAAAATATTCACATACGTTGATATATACACAAAATGAGGTGCAATGAGAGTTTAAAGTCTATTCAGAACCAACACATAATCACATATTGTGCATTAAAATAAAGTGAACAGGTATATTTCATGTGCAGGGATGACAAGTCTTACTAGGTATAATATGAGTTGCGGGAATACAAAGTATTTATATATGAACAAACGTCTCTCTGCACCCCCATGGAAATTGATCATAAATTTTTATTTGTTTTAGCTAATTTGTTTTACTGTTTGATAATTTTAGTTTATAGCTGTGCTGGTAAAAAACTGGTAATAGCTTCCCATCCGATAATTAATTTGAAAGAATCACTTTTTTCCCTCTAAAAGTGTATATCTCCCGCCAAATGCACCAATGACGTAGATGTTGCACTGACACACTTACCACTGCACTTGACATTGTAACGTAATAAATGCACTTACCGCTTTAGCCTTGGCTATGAAAACCTAGTTGCATAGACCAATAGTGCAATAGTGCATCGGGCGAGTACTCGATAGGTTATGCATTGTCTATGTTACAATCCAAACAATATTTTTATTTTTTTGTGAAAAATTAGTAGCACATTTTACGATGGATTTTAAAATATTTTTACAAAACGTACTCAGTAACCATGAAGGAGTTGAGGTAAAGATTGATTCCTTGGTCGAATCCTCTTGTACTGAGCCAGGTCAAAATTTTATGTCGGTTGTGAGTATTGTGAAAGTTGAGGGGAAAATTGCTAATGGTGAGTACTTTTTAATACATTTTGGTATAATTTTAATAGCAGTAGTTGATTTGTAGGATAATTTGTGAGAAGGTTTTACCTATTTGTTCGGTACCTTGGAAGGTTCACGGCAGTTAGACCGAATATTATCTCGGTATATTGTGTTGTTGTAAGGGCCCCCTTTCTTACAATTGATTAGGTTAAAACATCGTGGTCAAATATTTTAATTGACTTTTTAAATCTCGGAATCGTACACAAACTATTAAAGCGCTATATATGTTATTTGAAATCTTAGTGATTTAACTCTAAAATCCCTTAGATATCTGTTTTCATTAAAATCTTATGATTAAATGCAAGATTAATGAACTGGCTTAGATGAAAGTTAATAACAATTGTTTTCAACCCGTAAAGTTATGTAAAAAATAAACATATTATATGAGATTTTTTATAATAATTTTATAATTTTATAATTATTGATTGTTTGGAGTCCAGCATAAAATATAAAAAAATATGATTATTCTCACATTTACTTGAATACAAAACAAGACCAAACACATAAAACACAACATCGTCAGATTATATTAACCTAATTTTCACCTATAACAACAAAAACAAATGATTTATGACACGTTTAGTATTTATTTTAGGCAGAAAATACAGAATACTATGGCATTTTTCCTTTGAAATATTTTATGATTGAAATACTGTGATTAACGTTAGTTTGTTATATTCCTGTGTTTAAAGTACAAGTCTTTTTACAATGATTATACTAAACGTCAAATAATGCAAGGTCTGCATTTTCATTTACACATATTGCATATTTACACTGTTGAAAATTAGAAAATATTTTATGTTATTACTTTTTTCATTTTGCTATAGGATAATTTTTTACTTCTACTTTTTGCCTTGAAATAAAATTAAACTATAAAGAAATTTGTCAAAACCCATCAGTATACCTTATCATATTCGTAACAACGTAGTTGGAACCAATTAATTGTTATTTGTGATATACTTTGTAACATAGTATTGCCCTTTGCTAATTAATAATCGAATACACCGAAACGAAGCTGTACTTTAGTATCGAAAAAGTTATCGTAATATATATAGTTTTACTGTTAAATATTGGTAGAAATAGCATTTATTATTTGGGAACAATAATTTATTTCATCAATAATTAGAAATATGATTAATAATCAGTTTGTTTGGATAACTAAGTATAGTGTATATTAACAAACCTTTATGTTCCCGCAAAGTTGAATAAATGTTATATTAATTTTGATTTTGTCGAAAAACGCATCTTACGTAGCAAAATTCATGGATAATGTAAAGTAGGGTAATGTAATAGTATATTACGTTACAAGTCCTGAAAATAGGTGTTTACCGGACGAGTGTGGTCGTTCTAATCTTCCTAGGGTCGTTCCCGTGCGAGACGAAGTCGAAGGCGGGATTACCATACGAGTACGGTAAACACATTTTGGACGAGTGACGTACGATATTTTACGCTATACTACTCTAAGCTAACGTGACAATAAACAATTTTTACAGATCCTTATATATTTCCAATGACTAAAGGACTAGCACTCACTGCTCATAACTTATTGTTATTGTTTAAAACCGTTCATTGCCAAAATATAATCATCTGGTTGGTGTCCGGTAAAAACACATTACAGTACAGTAGATAGTACGTAGTTAAACCCCATTTGATTAAGCTAGCGGCAACCAGCTGTTTTCTGGACCAAATCCTTGCATGGGAAGTTTGTTAAAACAGTGTAGCGTGGCGCAAAGTACTTTTTGGTGGTGTTTTTAAAATTCACCCCCACCCACAAATAGGGGTTGGTATTAAAAAAATCTAAACCCCACCAGCAACTCCAATTTGGGGATGGGTGATGAAATTCAAAATTATGTTAAAAAGTGCATGATATCACCCTGGTCACGTGTACTGATGGTTATTTGAACATTTACAGGCATGCAAAAAATAAAAGTAATTTAATGTAAAGTTTCAGTTAAATTAATGTCTAAAATTTCGTTTCATAACTTGTTGAACATTTGTCGTATCGAAGCAAGGCAACACTAAATTGGTACCTTGATCAAAGTAAGATTTAAGACATTAATTTAAATTTATTTTTTAAAGCTCTTTAAAATGTTGTGCTACTTGATAGGGGTTGCCATTTAAAAATCTTAAGCTACCCCTATCAACCCCTATTTAGGGGTGGGGGGGGGGGGTGAATTTCAAAACACCACCAAGAAATACTTTACATTACCCTAGCAACGTGTATTGAAGCTAGTTTGAATATATGCAGTCGTTCACAAATTAAAAAGGGGAGAGTATCATGGTACACCCCCGGTATATTGTTAGACATACATTGTACAACATACACATGCATACATTGCAGCTTTGGTGCAGGTGTGATTCAAAGAGATATTATATTTGTCACCAACACTAAAGCTGGCTGTTATCTGAAGGTCACACTACTTATGTTGCAAGGTAGTAAACAGTTCCTTGCTAGATAACCTTGGCACGAGAATGCACTCAATTGTAAGTCATTCTTATCCGTCAACTGCAATTTGAAGTTATCTCAATGCTGTCATCGTAATTGACTTATTGTTACTTCTTGACTTTCCACTGCATCGTTAGACATGAACAATTTAGCGTATTGCTCTTCGTGACGGAAGGATTTCAAGACAGAAAATGTAATACTTACTTATGAAATATATACCTTTTTCACTTTATTAATGGTTCTACAGCTTAATTTGGTTCCAATTCGCCAGGCCAAGTTCAATCCTGACTAAACTCAGTGGTTTTTAGGCTAAAAAATTGCGTCTGTCTTTAATCATTGGACTTTTAATATGCCCCTGGCTATAGAACCGCCTGATCTTATTCAGTCACAAATTGTGTGACATCATTTAATACTGAACCCTTCTCCCATCTTCACCAAACAATACGTACCCTGATGAGTTGGCGCCAAAATATAAAATGATATAACGTATCTAAAATTGAGAGTGCATAGCGAATTCGTTGAATTGAAACCGGAGACTCTCAAACACAGGTTCTTTTATACTGAAACCAAAGAGTAATACCCCCGCCGCAGCAAACCTGCAGACTTAGCGAATTTCCATCTGCCTTATTAGATTTAAACTAAAATGTCTCCTTAAAATATCACATTTATTCCCTATTTAAACAGAATTAGTTTAATGAGTACTTAGGTTTGCTGCAACAGGGAGGGTAAAAGTTTTTTTTAATGTAAAATATTAAAAGGTACTGTGGTTTAGTAAGATATTAATGTATTTTCCAAATTTGATCAAAATATGTTCATAAACAAGCAAACTACAACAGTTGACTTATTCTCTATAAGAATAACATGGGAATTTTAAAATTAAAATTTTTTTGAATTTTCTCCGTAACAATTAGGCGCATAATAACGCTTCAATATACTAAATCATACTAAATTAAATCCCTATAGGGAAATTCGCTAAAAGGATGGAATCCTAAAAAAACCCAAAGTAAGACAGAAACGTTCAGTCAAACTCAAACTCCACCAACATAAAACAACTTAACCTTTTACAATAGCTTCAGAAGCCTACTGTCACTCTTAAAAGTCGATGGTAAGATTAACTTGGCAGCGCCTCTTCTATTACTACATCTGTTCATATATAGAAAAGGGTATCTACGCTTTTATCCAAACTTATTACTAACTACGTATTTTTTTCCAGTCAGACCTTACTTCAAGAGCGTATTCGTCAAACGAAAGACTCTCTTTGAAGGTAACAGTCAGCTGTTCAGCATGGACGACGCGTTCGACAATGAGGTGGTGGTGTACCTCAAGGTTCTACCGTTGATTATGCGGACTGCTGACGTCACCAGGTTGCCTTGTCCAAGCTACTATCATGTATCCAATGACGTCATAATACTGGAGGATCTTCAAGAACAAGGGTTCGGCTCTGGAAAGGCCAGTGAAGGTTTCGACTTTGCAGCTGCTATAAGTATTGTGCAGGTAATTCAGTAATAGTAGAATTGAAAGCTTAAGAATTAATTGTGAGTTGTAAAATACATATTGTGTAAAAAAAGTTGTAGCGGATAAGGATTGTTAGGAGTTCGATCTTCATTTTCTCATGTACTGCTGTTAAAAAAGCTTAAGTAAAATTTTCGATGTAAATGTTACTATCTAATGTTACTATATATGTACTATATATGTAAATGTTATTATCTAAATTGGAAACGTGTACAAAAACTTAATTAGGAACATTCCAACTTTAATTTTCAACGTTGGACAAGTAATTTATGAAACTGTAAGATTAGTTTGAAATTGATTTTTTTCGGATTTGAAGACCCAAGTTTTGTGGAGAAAATCTCCAACTTTTCCCAACTATGTTGGATGGTTTCTGGTCATGATAAGTAGGAACACCAATGGAGTTGTTACACGTTACGTTGTGAGAGCGTGAGTATTCGGAGCTGGGGGTTCATATCATACCAATTGCGAATGGCATTTAGTATGACTCGGAGGTTTGGCGTAATAAAAGCTGATATCGACTCATCTAAAAAAAATATATTAGCGTGTTTCTTAGGCTCGGAGACATCTGTGAACCAAAAGCCATAATACACATTTTTTATTAAGAATTAAATTCAAGTAAATTAAATGCCAAAACTGATTAATGTTCAATTATGGCAATTTACTTAATTAGAGTTAGATTTTTCTTCGTTACAACTATAAGATTTAAAACTGCATTTGAAATGTTGTTTCAGGAACTCGCCAAGTTTCATGCTGCTTCGTACTACACTCGGATGGTAGACCAGGAAAGATTCGACGTAACCGTAAAAGAACTGAAACCTATTGGATTAATTTTATCAAACAACAGATCAATGATGGAAACGTGCCTTAAAAGAGTAATACGGTACATTGAAGCTGAAAAGGACATGAACTTGGAAGCAACATCACTCAGAAGACTTCACGGAAGAGTGACAGAATCAATGAGAGAGCTTCGTGAACCTAAGAATGTGGCTGTGCTTGTCCACGGAGACTTTTGGTACAATAATATCTTAATTTGGAAATCAGAAGACTCTGAAGACAAAATACGTATTATAGACTTTCAAGCATCAGCGCTTCTTTCACCAGCAGTTGATTTCTGGTTGTTCCTTTACACAAGTATTAGTCATTCCCTTCTAGTCAAAAACTGTGTAGAGTTCATCACACTATATAAGGCATCGTTCCAAGAAGCTTTGTCCAACCTAAACTCATTCGAGATTCCATCGGAAGAGTTGATGTTTGATGAACTCTTATCGAAGGAACTATATGGGTTTCTATCAGCAATGGCGTATCTTCCAGCGCTGTATCTTAAAGGGGAATTGCTCGGGGAAATGACAAAAGCTAGTGAGGAAGAAAAGAAAGATGGATGTTTTCTGGACAAATTTGTTCTTCCGGGGTTTAAGGAAAGACTGATAGAAATCGTGAGATTTGCCTATCAGAGGGGGGTGTTTAATCACATAGCGTAGAAAATATATTTGGTCAAACATGGACCATATACACCGTATTATTTATATTATTGTAGTACATAAACGCAATTTGACTAGGTGGTAAACTATTTTTCTAGTTACTTAAGGTTGAAATTAGTTTCCTAATTTTAAATGCAAGTCATAACTATACATTTTTTTAACTAAAATGAACAGTAGTAAAAAAGCAAAGGTAGTGTTCTTAAAAAACTATTTAAATAATACTCTTACATTCTAATCTAAGAACAATAATCCAACAAATATATATTTTTTTTTGTTAACTTAACATTTATGATGTTAGGGTAACACAAATGACTATAGAATGAACCACAGGAAAATAGTGGCATCAACGCCAAAAATCTTTTACAAAAGGTTCAGGGTTTAAAAAATATAATCTAATACCTTGAAACTTATGTAACAAATTATATCTACACTAATAACTTAAAACTTGCACCATCTTATCATTTGGGAAATGTGTAATAATAATTATTTAAAGAAGAATATTAAATTTATCTACCATGGGCACTAGGATGAAAACTTTGTATACGATTTGATGTGATAATAAATATGTAGCATCTCAAAATAATTAATTGTTTATTTAAAAACGTGTGTGTGCATTTCACCACAACTTAGGTTAAAATAAGGTTAAATACGTAATAAGTTACTTATTATTTTACCTTGATGTAAATGTTGTTTACATTGACATTAAAAAAATGAAATATAAAAGATACAAGATTTAAAAAATATAATATTACTATAAAAAAAATATCAAACGCTGTTCTTGATTTAATTATATAATCTGTGATAAATTTAATTTCATTCTAACCAACCCGAAACTGTGATATTAGCTTATACGTTAAATTCGCAAGTAGGTGGTCCCAATCTCAATTGATAATTATTGATAATTGTGGATTTACAATTATTTTGCATCTGTAATTCTTCATCCACGTGACATTGTTTTGCCATGCCAGCCAATCCCCTACGGCCAACAGTATTAGATCTTCCCTCTAATATCATGTGTATAAACCAACAAAGAAACAACTGAAAATAATTTAACATTCTTCCCGGATTTAGGGGTTTAAAAATGGCATGACGTTGAAACATGTAACCTCCTGACTAATACCATTGAAACTGCTGACATGTACTGCAATATATTTGTGACATTTTGAATGACCTTCATAATATAACCTTTTTCCTCTTCAATATTAGAATCATTCACCGCCTCGGTTACCATTTGAGCTTGACAGGTACTATAAACTCAAAGTCAATTTAAAATAAACTTATAACCTTTATAGTCTTACTAAACAATCACCGTAACACGACACGACACGATATGAGATTGACCAAATACCTCATAACCTTTTGCACCCCTCCCCCTCCTACTGTTACATAAGTAGACACGATTCGACGTGACAGTTAGATTGCCTGGACAGCAGAGAGTTGTATAATTGACAACAATGACAGAACAGCTGTTTACACTATGTATTGTTTGTGTGCCGAGGTGGGCCACGTGACTCACGTGGGCTGGCACGTGGTTTGCCATGCAGCCCTCCACCACCCATTCGCAGCATCCCTTCAGCACGCTGCTGTACCGCAACTCTCTTGTTTTAAGTCTTCTTGAAGTTTACGTTTAAGAAATATTTTGATTGAAACTGTTGAGGAAAGTGCTTTCAAAAATGTTTCTATAAGGAGGTTTTTAAGAACGTTGATTGAATAAGTATCAATTATGTAGGTCTATAATTTTCACTGTCCTAATTATATTTCTTTAGGGGGGTTCCATGATTAAGCAAGAACTCAAGCATCTTTGGTACCTGCTAAATCTATACACACAAACTTCTTGGGTTACAGAAATGTGCAGAAGAATTTAACCAATTTTTTCCCTATGTAAACTTTGTTTGTATGACTTTTACCTACTTTTAGAGATCTTTTGTTGTAAAACATCGTACATGCAATTTACATGCGATATTTTGATTTAAAATTGAACTGAGGACAGAGTTGCTAAAGATATGCCTTGAAAGTGTAATAACCATTTCACCCTAATCATGCACTTCTCGATGGGAGTCTTCAATTGGATTTTATCTTTTTCCCTTCTTTGTACACTACCAAGCCATCTAATTCTTCGTCTTATTTTCACTGCTACAATACCTGGTATTTTTACACACGTCCCACATGTATAAATCTATGATTCAGTATTCCCCATACTTTTTCTTAAAATGTTGGAGGCATAATATACCAATTTAAAATATATAATATCATTATGATCGTTTTTTGTCTGGATTTATTTTAGTCAGGAAATATTTAGTTGTATGCATCAACATAACTATCACACATGGGCATGAAATCTCTCTAACCAGACCCTTATATAATTATAAACGATTTATTAAGAACTTACATCCGTGGGTGTTATATTGGTCTCGAAATAGTTCGATCGACCAAAATATTATTGCTATCACCTACGTATTAAGTTCTATCTTAAAACATATTTTCAAACATATAAGCATATACAACATATATCAAACATATATTTACATAACACAAATAAGCGTCCATGCAAATAGGGGTCCACCGTATACTTTATTTTAAAATATACACATAAACTATTCTAAACTTAAATCCTGTCAACTGAAGTAGCCAAACCACGATATTAGTGTCAGTGTTCTAGTGTGAAGAATGGAAAGCAATAAAGAGATTATAGGAGTTGTAGAGGCATAATGTTGGAAAATGCTATCCATCAAAATGACGCTTTCTGCCTTACCCCACCAAACCTCTACTACACCCTTCCCATCAAACAGGTGACTTTCAGTCTAATGTGAAATAACGTTGAGCAAGCCAGTAAGAGTCTGTATCTATATACAATCAGTTCGTTTATAATCCAATACCAGGGGAACGAGTTTTGCTCGATGCGATATGATTCTATAGTTATATTTTCACATGCAATAAGGTTATTATATTAGTTAAATTAAACTATTTGAACATTGTTAACAATCTGGATTATTGTTTGAAGTATTGTTTAGTGGCTTAGAATTATTTCCACTTGGTTCCATTGGCATCACCGTACATACGTACATACATTTCCCGTTATTCCAATTGAATTATCAATTGAATTTAAATCAGCTGATCGTAATCGCAGGAGAAGGAGTGTAGGGAAAGTGTCAAATAAAAAAAGAACAATGACTATGTCTACCTTTGTAATTATCATACAAGTAATACAGACAATTTTAAATTGGCTATAAAATTTAAAGTTGTGTTAGAAACAGTGTTATGTATTTAATCCAATTAATTTTATGCGCCACAAATCATTTTTCAAATACGTACATGTATTTCACTAATGTTTCATGATAGCAATTTCACTGATTGTACCAGGGTTATTAAAAAAGAATGGTGAAAAACTAAACGGTTAGTATGTCTGTTTCTGTGATTTCATATAGCTGATTGTTACACTAATGGAAAGGGCGTGTTTATAAGTTTGTTTTGACAAGATCATGTTTTGTCTCAGTTGCTCAGTTGCTCAGTTGCTTAGTTGAGTACGGTACCACAAATCCTGTCAACAAAATCAAAGAATATCAACAAGAATCGAAGCTATTATGGTAAATATCTGAGCATTTTGGCTTGTCAGTAAGCTTCAATGCTTTTAATAACTGAAGTTTGTCCTGGGTTTCGTCTCAAACGCTTGCGTAAAACCGTCATTACGTGAAGTTCCCTACCAGCTTAGGTTTGCGCAGAGTCCAAAAACATCAACAGTTTAGCTTCGATTCTCTCCTCAGCGTCTGGCGGAGTTGAGGACGGCTCGAACTCTTCCCGGCACACAAAAACAACCATTGTAGTAGATAATACGTGATTGAACTTCAAACAAACATATAAACACACAAACTTTCACATTTATAATATTATATATTAAGACTACTGTGTTTAAGTATAAACTCCCTTTTAAAGACAATCTTCATATATCTTCAATATACATTGGTTCAATCAAATGTTTTCAAGTAAAACATAATTTACGAAAACATAATTTTTTACTCTAATAATTAGTAATTCGTATTTATCACTTTCCCTCAATTGCCACTTCCTAACGTAAAATATTGCATTTGAACTAATTAGAAATTCACTGATTGAATCGAAAGTGGGGCCAAAGGTATTATAGATTCGCACAAAATATAATCCATCAAAGCGAAAACATTAGCATTAGTGGCTTCAGTCAGACCTCCCCCTTGTAAAGAGATATCCCTGCTAGCCTACCAACGATTGTTTGAAGTGCGGAAGAAAGGGTTTTATCCATGATTTATTGTTAATGCAGCTTAACAATAACATTAACTTCTTCTCCAAATACATATCATGAATATGAGAATTAATTATTGTATAGTTACTCGTACAGGTGGTATCCTATAGGTTTCAGATGAGATTCTCCTCGCCTCAAAACACATCTTTTTACTTTCTACCCCATATTTAGAACAGGAATAAGGTAGGCCTATATTGTTTTTGTCAACATTTTCGAGTTTGTTTTGTGAAAATATTCGTTTTGGATCCCCCTGAATAAAATAGTAATTTTCGTAATACTGTCACAGCTGTGTGGTGTGTAGCAGCTGTTTTTAGTTCTCTAAATCGTCAGCAAAATCATCGGTTTCGGGTAACTTCAAAATAGGGAACCAAACAAAATTGGTAAATCTTTCGGTTCGTTTAAAATGTTATCAACGCATTATGAAACGTTGTTAAATCATACTAATATTATAAATGTGAAAGTTTGTGTGTTTGTTTGTATGTTTGTATGTATGTACGTTTGTTTGTTTGTTCGTTTGTATGTTTGTTTGTTTGTATGTTTGTATGTTTGTATATTTGTATGTTTGTATGTTTGTTTGTATGTTCGTATGTATGTACGTTTGTATGTATGGTTGTTTGTTTGTATGTTTGTTTGTTTGTTTTAAATTCAATCACACATTAACTATTGGTCGAATTGGGTTGAAATTTGGTATGATGATAGCTCACATTCCCGATTAACATATAGACATATTCTTATCTAAAAAATCCTTTCGGGCTCTGCCCCAGTCGCTCTGGAGTTTCCCATGTTAACCTCTTATGAGTATTCATATTTAAAAGGAATAAAGGATTTTAGTCAGCTGTTTCAACTAAACAAGTTGGTTCTATAAGGTGTGCAGTGCTATAATTTTTTTGCATTCAAGACATTATCTAATTTGAACCAACAAAAAAACCATATTTTCTCCCATTACAAACGCAAAGCACGAATAATCAAATCAAATCAAATCAAAATCTCTTTATTCCTGAATTATTAATGTTGCATGTTTGTTAACAATTGTGTGTACAGGAAAAATAATTCCCAAGTAGACTATCCGTCTGTGTTTGGGAATGAGTTGCTAATACAGCTATACACAGGTCCATAAACATTCAGGAGTACTTAGACACTTAATGATGATAGTAAATAAAAAATATTAACAAGATCAAGAGAGAGAGAAAAAAACTTAATTGCATCGAAACATCCAAAACTCAAATTTAGTGATTGTAAGTGGTATTTAGCAATGAAGGAAAAAAAGTGATTTGGTGACGCATGAAACTGCAGAAATTTACGAGTACAATGATTTGAGTAATCCTTCTGATTGCTCCCTGCAGATATTTAAAAGTAATCCTATAAGTATAACCTGCAATCAGCATTTTATACTTATACGCCAACCCCGTGCGACTCTGCTAGT